CGGTTTGGTAAACAAGCAAACATCAACAAACTGGAGATACATAATACATCACCATACCCCAATCTTCCTGTGCAACACCAAATTTGGACTAATCTCTGCGCCAGCATGGTGTATAGGTGGACTCGCGTCATTTGTCTGCCACTGCCGGACTTCTTGTGCTCTTGCATGATCCCATCGACCAGGACCAACCGTTGTTGTAGCAGGCCCGTCAATTTTGTTCTTCAACCAAAAAACGCAACCTCTCAAACAATCGCGGAAGTGGAACATGATGTAATTACCCGTGTTTATCTACTACAGCTGCTGTATGTTCAGTCTACGTCCTGAGTCCTGAAGGTTTTCAAAACAGCCCGGCAAAGCAGAAAATAGCAGCAGTCAACGAACGTGGCCGTCATGTTGGGGTCCAATGGAGACACAGCACCAATTCCACACCCAGGATGTTGGTGACCACCACCTCAGATCGGAATGCGCTCTTGTGGACATGGTGAGATCGCTGGACCGTCACCAAACGAGCTCTCCATGGGATGCTCATCCAGCCCAAAGAAATGCTCCACATCTATGTTTTCACAAAAAAAGTCAAACTTTGAAAACCGTTTTGCAAGGCAAGCTTCGATCACCACAAGACCAAAGCATATCCACCAGCGAAGATCGTCTGACAAAACAACACCTGCGACATGCAATGACTTGGATGGCTCAGGACAAGACTCTTGGGGACGCCTCCACCAAAATTAGACATGTATCATGTACGTGCATGTGTCTGTTTTCATCTGTTTTTTTATTTTTAGGTGTGTGGCGCCCAAATTGATTCTTTCACTATGCTTCACCCTCTTTACAAGTGAAACAATGAAGTAACTAACGAACAGATTCCAAGCTTAAGGTTGAGGGTCATGCAACTCTGCCGGTGACCCACAGATGTAAGCCTGAAATTACTCCAGCTTGTGGACAACACGTTCAGCATCTTTCAGCCTTTTCCTTCAGCATTCACTCATTGGAACTCTGAACTCTTCTCCCGCGCATGCGTTGAAGGAGCAGCAAGACAACGCGGTGTGAGGTCTGACTGCGGTGCTTTCCGGGCCTAAGAGAACTTCTAAATAGCCCATTGACATGGCTGGAAGAGTAGCCACATCAAAGACGTTGCTCACGGCATTGAACCAGCCTCACTCGGATTGAATTCAACAAGTCAAAGCTTCAGCGACAGAATGAATCAGACTGTCCCTCTCACCCTCTCCAAAAAGGGAACATCATGCAACTTGAATATCCTTGGTCTTGGCTGAACGCCCCTCAAATGAAAGTAAACAAACAATGTTCTGTTCTTGTGAACCACTCATTTCTGCCAAATAAATAGACTTGAATTTCTGTGGTTGGCAGGCTAATGAAATCCCCCGCATGAAAATGCCGTGAGTCTGGTGACACCGTTGGCTACACCACCATCTGTTATCTGGGTATAGAAGAAAAACATGTTACTAGTACAGTAGCTTCTTGTTCCTAGTAGTGATGGCCTCCAACCTAATAGCGATGGCCTCCACCTAGCAGCTTCTAGTTTGATATCATAAAAGGAGTTTCCACCTCCAGAATAATGTCAGCATCCCAATCCACAAGGGGACTTGGAATTTGGTACTCTGACATGAGTTGGGTTGGTAGAACTTCTCCACACCAGGTCCCCAGGTCAACATGTACGTGTTGAGACTCTGATCTTGTGAAATGGACTGGTACCTAGGGCAATGCCTTACCAAAACAACAAGTGTGAGAGACAGAAACATTTGAGTTTGAATCCTACTAAGGGGCACCTCCCAAAGACCATCTGGTGAACAATATCGGCCAAAACCAACTTGTAGAGGGTCTCTCTCTCTCTCTTCCAATTCCAATCTACACTAATTATAGTAATATATATATATAATATAATATATAACTATATATAGTCGTTGTAATATATACACATTTGTGGCGCCTTCTGCAGCCTGTCGGGCTGATTTGCGTAGGGCCTTTGATACCGTTGCTTTTTTGGGGATGACCTCATGCCGCAGGTGTTGAATTCTCACTGAACTATTGGACCACTGCAGCGTCGAGGCCGCCACAACCGGTGTTCGGCTTGGGTGCTGCCCAGGAGCCATTCATCCACCCAAGCCATGGGCCCCAAGACTTGTGGACGAAGTGGATCTTGCCACCTCAAAACAGCGGATGGCAAACAAGGTTGGCACGTGCGAATGATGGGTGGGGAAGATACTGGGGGAAAACACAAAAACAAAACAGGAAGACCAACAATAACATACAATAACAAGTTATCCGCGGCAGTTCCAGTTTTGGACCCCATATTTGTGCTGTTCATGCCGCTATGTCAGAGGTTTGGGCTTTGCACGCTCACCACAGTCTGAGCGGTCACTGTTCTCACCATCGCTAAGGGAAGAGTGCAGATATTGAGGGAAGCTTTTCCTTGGGACAGGGCTCAAAATAGAATTCACCAAACCTACGCACCATCCGCGAATTCTTGCCGCGATCTGAAACCATTCAGTACGACTCAGCTTTTTTGGAGGCATAAACTACTCCAAAGGTCACAATTTCACACTTAGAGTCCTCTCTTTCGATGACCTGATATCTTTCGCCTCTTCCCCCTTCCACTCTTTCCCTCCAAAGTGTGCTTGGATTGAAAGATGGCAGAGATTGGAACTCAAACAGTAACGGACCCGGAGCAAATTCCTAGAACACATATGCAAAAACCGTCCTGCACCCTTTCCCAGCGCGCTTGCGCACGCGAATGACCACAACTAGTGGCCGACGTGTGGATCGTGGCTGCAAAGCTCTGCTGTCATGACCTGACTGAAGTGGGCTTGAGGGCCTTTCAACCAGACCATCCGTTCACGAGTCCGAAATATTACAGTAGGCAGCTGCCAGCAAAGGAGACTAGTGACTAGCTGCTCCCAACTTCTACCAAACCGAATGCACAAAGTTAAAGGTTTTGCAGCGCTTCTGACGCATGAGAATGAACACGACAGGGCTGGTACAGTGCATTCACCCGCCAGACCAATTTCTAGTGCTATATTCTCCGAAATTAGGATAAGCTTTTCGGATCCTGCCCACCAATTTCCGGGATTCATTCTATGTCATTCTAATGTCCATCTGAACCCGCGCGTGTTCGGTCGAAAGACTTCACCAAAGCGGTGCTGGCTCATCTTCCCAACCGAGTTGCAGCAATGGGCAAAGACCATATCAAAGGGATCAATAGAAAGCCCAAGATGCTCAAGACAGCTCCGCCTCGCAGAAAGAGTCGCGAAAAAAGCTAGGGCATGTTGCGTGTCTTGTACAAATACTCTTTTCATCTCTTTTCGATTCCTTTTGACTCTTCAAATCCATCTCGCATTTCCCAAACAAGTTCAGCCACACCGGTCCCCACGAATGTCCGGAGACCGTGGAGGCCTTTCCGCACTACTGGCTCGGCTCCGTAGGGCCCGCCAGCCACCTCAAAGAAGATCATGCCCACCTCAGATGGGCCGCCTTCTTCGGTACCCGACGACCTCTCCGAAGACCGTAGACCGCCCGAAAAACGGAGCTTAAGACTCATGAAGCCTCTGAGTTTGAGACTCTCTCCGCGGCAAGCCTGCTCTCCTTTTTTTGACCTCTATCACACGACCTGAATCCAGGCAATTATGTTGTGTGGATATTGATATGCGTGGATATATACTATAGGCTATAGGTAAATAAGATTTTCTCCAGAAACACAAGGTCAGAAGCTGAAGGACACGATTTCTGTCCATGGTCCATCCAAACTGAGCGGCCATCGCATTGGTGTCCAGCACCTCCTTCAGGCCAACAAGCCCCTCGGATAAAAGCCTGACAAAGGTCGCCGGCGGCAGCCCCTCTTTTAAGCCATCCACCTGTTGCACCCCCAGCTGAACCTGACCCGAACATGAGCAGAATGGTTCTATCATAGTTCTATCCTATCCGCATCCTGTTTCCCACGTTGTGGGTGTTGAGGCCTTTCCTTTTGACTGACGCTCAGCGGGAGATATATAGAACTTTCTGCGGTTTGGGCGATCTTGGCCTGGATAAAATCCAGCAATCTTTGAATCTTTGTCAATCCGTATGGATTTGGAACTTGCAGAGCTGTTCAAGCCTTTGATCAGCAAAGGTGCTGAAGAGGATGTGCTTGTGCACCCGACAATTCTGCAGAAACTTCGTAGTAGTAGGTACATAGATTTAGATTTTGATCAACCTCTATGGAAGATACGGAGGCGGAGCAGTTCCTTCACGCACAACAAAACACATCAGGCCGCACAGGCCGCTTTGATCAGGCCTGGACGCGAGGGGGTTGCTAAGCCGCCTGGCCACTGGGCCAACAACCATGGCGCTGATGACTGGTGATGACTGCTCGACTGGTCTTGTCTTTTTGACAGCTCCTCCAAGATCTGAGCCTTTGATGTATCCTGGTTTAGCTGGGGAAACTGGTCGTGAGATGTGAATTTCAGTGTCGATTGATGTTCAAAGGACTCGAGCAATATTCAAGAGTTGGGATTTAGTGTTTGGGTGTGGTGCCTCACACAATTGATCATTCAAAGAGTTTGGATTTAGTGTTTGAAATGTCCGCGATGCCAGGAGATATTCATGGCATGTGTTTATCTTGTGACAATCTGATACGATGCTCGATTGTCTCAAAGTGGATATCTGGGCCAAGAGTGCTCGATTGTCTCTTTATGTAACATGCAAGTGGGCCAACCAGTGGCGAAACATGGCCACAGTCCATTGCCATGAATGGGAGTGTTTCCCTTCACAGCTTCCGTTGACCCAGTTTCCTCTGAACTCCTTGAAGGGCACTTATGTCCTCTCCCCTTTTTGGTGCCAGATTAAACTCCAAAACGTGAAGTCTTGTCACTCTTGACACACCAAAGGCGTCCCCACATTGGATGACAGTCTCGGAACAGAATAGAACAGCATGCTGGATGCATTCATGTCACAGATTGCATCAACTGATCCTCAACCACCCTGCCGGCTGCCGCACTGTTGCACCCGACGAGGCCCCATCTGAGGGAGTTCTCCAGCGCGAAGAGGTAACGACTGAGCGTGCTGGGTTGCTGGACCATCCCTGATGCTGACCGGCACCGTGAACGGGCTCTGAAAGCTGTTGGTGAGGTTTGAAGCTTTTTCAAGATCCATCCGAAATCCCCAATTCCAAATTTGATCATCCCGAAATAGTCTGTTCAAAGAGCTTCAAGCGTCTAAAAAGGAACCCGTGGGAATTCCAAACCTGGAGCCATCCTCATGCTGAGAGCTTCTAAAAAGTTGGCCTCCATGCCGGACCAGCACCTTTGCAATTCTCTCATCGGTGGGCGCCGGACTCTCACTGTCTCTGTCTGTCTCAGCTCCCCAGCTCAAGAGCTTCATCATTCCAAAGTTCTTGCCTCGACCATTGGAGCGGTTTTTGCTAGCACCAAAGTACATCTTCGGCTCAAAATATGAGGGTCTAGACTCTAGACATGTCTATAGTCTATAGATGTCTATATAGGCATCAGTGGACTGAAGAGTCCAGTATTGGGGATTCAGTCCAAATTGGAACTCAAATACATACACGGTTGTCCACTCGATCTTGTCTGACATACTTTTGTCATCTTCTGAACACACACATCCCCTGCACACCAGCACGGGCGTCTGTATTGACTCTTTGCTTCAATCATCACGGGCAATTTCTGGCAAGTTGCCGAATGCCCGTCCAGCTTATCCATGTGAAGCAAGCAGCCCCTGTAAACTGTACCCTTTAGCCACAAACCAAAATTAATGTGGAACATCATTGCTCCTCCAAGTCAGTAGACTTGACTTTATGAGCACCTTCAGCCTTCAGCTCTTCTAATTCTAAGAGCCCCCCAAATGACAAACATCCCAACCAGCTCCAAGCCATGTTCTCATCCGCACATCTCCAAGGTGCAAGGAGCTTCTCGAGCAAAGCCTCGGATCAGTCGATTCTCCATCCGGGGCTTTTCACCACGACCAACGAGTCCCACCGAACATCTCGGAAGACTGACCCGCTGCGCGGGACGATTCGCCGATTGAAAAGAAAAGAAAAGAAAAGAGACTCGAAAAGGTCCATCACACCCACGTAGCTGATGTGATTCACCCCATGTCCAGACTTCGCCAGTCTTCGATCAGATCATTTGGGCGATTTCCCCTGGTCGCTCGCCTCAGTCGACCTCTGTAGTTCACATCCAGTGCTGGCTTTCACAACATGTGGTTCACCCCAAGACATGGCCCTCTTGGTCGACGGATTAGACTTTGCCATCCGGAGTTGAGGGATGCTGTTATTTCACAAGTACCACAAGATCCCATGCGGAAGTGCCAATCCCATGCGGATCAAATCATCCTCGTATTGGTGCCTCATAGTTGCTTCTCACAAACAACCCCAAATAAATCGAAGACCTCTGACCTTTCCAAAGCCATCAAATTGGATGTAAAGCGACACCCTGCGCGAGTCGGGAAAAAAAGACACGTCATTGCCCAGTCGCAAGGCGCAAGCTATGCGCAGACCCTGCAGGGCCACTGAGGCATCAAAGCTCTCCAGTGCCCTGAGGATTTCTGGGAAGAAATCTTCAAATTGAAGAGGACGACTCGGACCCCGAGAACTCGTTGAAGTGGGTCTGTTCATGCCCACTTCTGGGGATCTGTTCCACGTCGAACATATACGACATATAGAGAAAAGCAACACTTGTACAGATACCCTCTCCGAAACAACCACGAGGGCCTGTAGTTTCGGGTTGGGAAGATCTCTTGTGGTAGGATCGGAGAAGAAGGAGTGTCAAAAAGATGTTGGCCGCTGTTTTGGAAAATCATCCGGACAAAGATGGACAAAATAGATACGATATGCCAACCACTTCTACGGAACCTGAGTCAGGGTTCATCCCAAGGTTGTGAGGTCCTGGAGTCCTGGACATCTCCATGATGTTGTGTCTGGGCCCTTCCTGGAGCGTTTAGGTTAAAAGACCAGGAATCCACAATATGCACAACGTGGAACACATACAAACAAAAATAACAATATAGTAGGCATTAGATTCTTAATCTTCAAAGGCTGGCTACCACGACCGCAGAACCAGGATATCAAAAGCTCACTTTGAAGAACCAGGACGCTTGATGACACTTGTGATCTGTTGCGATCTTTCATGATGTTTCACTTCAACATGGGATCTTTGTGTATTTTGAGACTTCTCTCTGGCTGAACCAGGAGTGAAACTGGAGGGGCTGTTCATCCAATGTTCGGCCTCATGCTTTATTGGATACTCAAGGGCTTGAACATACTTTAATCTTGATAGAAGGCATTACTAAGGCTTAATACAACATTCAGTTCTATGCAGTCCTGGCTACCAACATGAAAAGCAAATCCACACGGCCGTTCTCGAAGTTCTGTGGGCCTTCCTTACAGCTTGAAGCTCTGGATCTGGGTTGAACAAACCTCCATGAGCCTCCATTTTGCTATATATGTACTCACCGCATCAAAGCGACACCGTCCTCCCTTCGCCCGGCTCCCCGGTTTCTCAGACCGACACACACCTCAGAGCCGTTGTGGCCAAATCCAAGGCAGGCCTAGGCGCGGAATCTGAAACTTGGCAGTGAGCACGCCGGAATACGCTTTGAGGTGTTTTGTTCAGTCCCAAGAATGAAGGTCTACCAGGGCATTGATTATGATCATCGTTCACTCTCTCCAACAAACATGGAAGTGGACAACCACTGATTTGGTCTTCGGAACATGGTCATACATGGTCATCCGAACTCGGGGCGATACCATCCACTTCGAAATTTCGGGGTTCTGCGGTGACGGCACCCATCGGTCGGTCCCTCTGGTGCTCTTTTTTGAGATGTGGAGCGACGTGGGACCCAGGAGAATTCACCCTCGAGTGTGCAGCTTGTAATACTTATGCAAGTCAGGAACAAGATTGCGGACATCAGAATGCAAGCAGGATGGATTACCTGGATTGCCACACTGCCCTCTTGGTGAACTGAAGACTTGGCACCAACAAAAACATGGAAAACCCCAACTCCCAACCCACGAAAGGGCCCCAATCTTTGATCAGGTCAGGACTGTCTCAGTGGCCCGATTCCTCTGGCGCTCGAGTGGAGCGTCCTCACCCAATCCCGAGAAATCCATTCCGCTTGAGTGAGCTGTTCTGCTCCAGGAAGGTCGACTTGTTACTGGTAGCTTCTTGTTACTAGCAGTAAGGTGCCTTGTTACTAGCTGCTTCTTGCTACTTATAGTAATGCCATCAGGAGCATCAAACTGTCCGACCAAGATCGTCTCAAGTTGTCATCCACCCCCACGAAAAGAATCATACGGCGCACGGAACTGCCAGGTGACGTCAACAGCGTGCACACCTCAGTGGTGAATGCACATGCTGACATTGCAGTGGGTCAAAACCTCACCCTACAAACCATGGTTTCAGTTGACATCCCTTAAGCCTTATGATTATAGACGAATCTGTTGAACAGGTCAACCAAGGTCCCTCGGTTTTGACCCACTTCCATGTGATTGAACAGAAACCATGACATCCATCAAGTAAACCTGAAAAACGTTGGTCAATGTTGGTCACGACTTCTTGATCGATAGAGCCTGAAATCATGTCAAGACTTCACTTGGCCAGCAAACATTCATCTTGGAGAAGCTGTTGACTTCTTTTTCCTGCATCCATCCCACGAAGCTGGGCCATCGAAAGAAGGTCAGCTGTTGCCACCCGAAGTGTCCTGAACCAAACAAAGAATCCTCGTGTATACAGTGTAGAGTGTAGACAACAGAGTACACAAAGCCACTAGTCACTTGCAAGACAAACAAGGTAGATATTGCTCCCAGTATGTACAATGAGACTGTGTGTATTTCATGAATCTTGATGATACAGCTATCCTTCAGACCAACAACATTGATCAACATTGTATATACATCAGTGATGTTCTAGACAAGTGGGAAACCAATTCTGTTGGGGCGACGGGTGGGAAGCTGCCCATGATGCTTTTGCACTCCAGTGGAATGCACTTTGCAATTCCCGAGTAGAGCTTGAGTCTTGAAGTAGTGTTCGTAACTTGTGACCATGCGACCGCATGACGTCATCCTGGGATCTCAAAAGGTAACGTTGAAGGTCCTGGAACATAATTGTTATTTCATGTATTTAATGTTGAATTGTTAGGTCCTCTTGTCTGTATTACCATGTATTACCCATACCTCGTGCCCAGCCTTCGTGACGTTTCTCATGCCCTTCTCCCCAAGGTGTCCGGACATTGGCCACGATTCCCAGGCAAATCTCCGAGAGTCGACCCTTGAAAGCTCCACGTTCAGCAGCCTCCCAGTAGCGTGCCATGCGCCATGCGCGGCACGCGGTGTTCGACCCGTGACCCGAAGGAGGTTGATGGAGGTTGTGGAGTCCAGACCGTTGTTTCTCTTCTCGTCTTTAACCAATCGTTAACCACCCCGGATGGGCTACCAATTCCAACGACTGGCTTACGTCACGCATGCTTGGTGTCAGGATTGTAGGCACCAACGTATTGTTAAGCATTCGTGCTGAATACCTTGACGATCGCCCGCATCGGCCACAGGTTCGATGTGGTACCATGTGGTACCCCTAGTGAAGTCCCCCCATCTAGGACTCACTACCCCACCCGTCGTTCGCCGACTCACATCCTCCAGCGTGGCCGGCCTCAGCGAAAATGCTGAGACCCTGAAAGTGGCAAATGGCTTGCGCAGCCTCCAACTCGATGGACAAATCCCAAATGGCCTCCGCTTGCGTCGTTCGCCGCGTCCGCTCCGTCCGCCTCTAGGTTTGCCTGTCGTGGGATCTCGGTGGCGCTCAAAACACCGAGATCACACTGATTGATCTTCAGTAGGATCGCTCAAACACCTAGTGTGTACCAAGGGTGAAAGTGATTTATCATCTTCTGCAAATCGATTTCGATTGCCCATTAAAAGAAGTCACAAAACATTCATCCTGTGGTCATGCAAATCAGCCAACCGACCGCTGAGAGCTGTTTGGTTGCTTTTCAATCGCTGAGATCAACTTTTTGACTGGCCAATTTTAGGCATCGAACATGGTATAGAGTAATAGTAGAAATGTAGAACTTGGTAGAACAACTCTAAGAAACACCATGAGAACTAGACCAACCGTTCTTGAATCTCTCTTGACCATGGTAGAACACCCAACCACCACATCCCTCTGATCAACTATCGGTGACGAAAAAACGTCTCAGATCTGGAAAAAACACAACCATCACAACCTTTGATCGGAAAGAACTAGGCGCCTCTAAGCGTTTCTCAAGATCCTCTTGCACCTGCGAAGAGTCATTTGGCTTCGTGGCCGGGGCCCCGAGAACTTGGGGGTGGCGCACCACTGGCTTGATAGCTGGAGAATGCGGGAGAGCTGGTGGCCAGCAAGTTGAGATCGCAACAACGGGATAGAGCCGCAGCAAGTATATAAGTAATGACATACATCTTGATGGAGTCAGAGATGGCACGTGAGCAAGTTGCTTGCTTGTTGTAAATAATTAGGCAGCGAATTAGACAGCTAGCTGCTTAATGCAAGTGAGTGTCTACCTCTTCGGGATGTCGAACAGTGAACTGTCTTCACTCACTTGTGTTTCTTTTTTGATCTTGCCCAGAGGTTTGAAGATGGTTTTTGCTCAAAGAAACAGCCAACAGCTCACATTTGTTTGCCGTTTCGCAGTTGAGGTGTTTATAGCATCGCCCATCAAAGCAATCCAGTGCAGGGCCTCCTCTTTCTCCAGGATTTGTTGGTTCACGGTGTCACGCAAGACCTCGAGAACCATTAGATGCCAAGCTGGTGCAAGGAGAACATCGAACATTTTGGAAGTCGGATTCAACCAAAGACAAACAGCGAACACCTGACACAATGGATCGAGTTGAAGCACGTGACTGTTGATCAGGTCGCTCGGTCCTTTTTTATACTAACAAGTTCAATTAGTTGTGGATAGTTGTGGTACAAATAATGTCATGAAAGCTACGTTCCACACTGGGGTAAAGGGGTTGGGGCCCATCTTGGAGCACATGATGGTCAAAAAGCCGCTTTTTATGGTCGGAGCTGTCGCGGCATCTGTTGTGGCCCCAAAAAACGACGAACTGAAGTGTTCATCCAAAAGATCTTGGGAATAGCCACCTTTTCCAGTGGTCACCGGCTCCATTGAGACCAGTTCCTTTTTTCGGCAGTTTGGTTCCCCTCGCCTTCAACAGGAAGGCCTCGTCTAAGTGACAGCGGGTGGCCTCAGCAACGAAGTTGCTGAGAAGCCTTGATCACGGAATATCAGATCGATATTATGATATTCCGTGATCAATCAGCGAAGGCCATGACGAACAGTGTGTAGGTATGGCTCAACAACGGCTGCCCCGAAACAATGGCTGCCCGCGGTGGACAACGGCCTACGGGTCTTGCGAATGGACCGTCGATCCCTGAGTTGCCGGCCATCCGCGGGTCAAACAGCCGATGCCAAGGCCAGATCGGAATGGACCGTTCTCGTGGACGTGGACCATTGAAGACTGGCTACTAAGGTTCTACTGAATCACAAGAAGGACTGCCAGAACCTGGTGACATTAAAAGGTTTATCGGTACATCGGGGCCCGTTTATGGCAGTGGTAAGGCACGGTACGGCAGTGGATTCTCGCACTTGAAGAGGTTTTTTGAAAGACAGACCAAGATAGGCAACCAAGTGATCTTCCGCAGTGGAGTTTCCCACTGGCACCATTTCCAGAAATCCCAAAAACCAAAAGCTACTCTGGGCTGAGAGAATTCGATCTGACAAGGACCAAATTTATCTTTAAAGACTAAAGACTTTAAAGATTCTTGTAAGTAGAGTTGTGAACTCAAGTCCAAAGATGTTCTGCTAAGTCATGTCTTGGCCCTATCAACGCCAAACCTGCGTCCTGGTTCTTGGGTTGTACCGGAGCCTACTTGTATCAGCAACTGGGTAAAGGGTCACTAAAAAAGATCTTGAGCCACTGAGGACCTTCGAGTCCAATGCACGGAAGGAGAACAATGACCTTCGGGTTCCAGGACCACTCTCCCCTCCATGACCTTCGGGCCTATAGGATCTACTTCAAGGTTTGGAGCTCCTGGAGGGGGGTTCATGGCAGCTCCGGCGGAAGGGTCACTTGGCTTCTCACTCTGCGACTCTTCACACAAATTGGAAGGCAACTTCCACCGTTTTTGTGATTTTCACGTCCGCAGGGAATGATCCCCCATGGGATGGGATGCCGGCCTTCACTTGAAAATTCACCTGGAACTCTGGAGTGATCTCTTTCGTCCGTGAGCAAACACTTTGTGTAAAGGGTTCGCAGAATGGATCTGCGCAATTTAAATCCTTGAAAGCTTCATCCACACAAGAATGACCCCCAAATCATCCAAATTTGCGAATGCTCCCGATGTTCCCCAGCCTTGAGGGCTTATTATAGGGATAAAATTGCCATGGAAAAGGTGCGAGCTCACGTCTGCCCATCAACTTGATGATGCAAGCAAATGACAGGTTTCATGATGATTTTGTGGTCATGAGTCAAGAGTATTGATTCAATCCCTTGCCACGCCACATCACACCACCAAACCGAAGAAAACATGGCTGCTGCCTGATAAAAATGAAGAAACAACATGAGATAAGAACTTGTCGAATGAGTCAACCGTAAAATGCTTCAGCAAGGGGTGCCCCAAGGTTCCGAGCTTTTGTCCCAAGGGGCGCTTCGTACTTGGTCGGGTTGGTCTCTGTTCATATAAAAAAGATACGGCCAATGCAAATGCTTTCTCAAGTCATGAAGCCTCAACCTATTGGACCAATGACTGTCACATCCATCCATTCTATGGAAAAAAACATCTTTGGAGCCCTGTTCTGCAAAAGTTCTATGAGAAGTAGCTTGGTATCATCGATCCTCATGGACAAAGTCTATAATACTAAGGAATCTAATTGGAAAGAAATACGTCTTCTATTAACTAACTAATAGCGATGGCCCATGGCCTCCAACCTACTAGCGATGATGAAAAAAACAAGCTTGGCAGTTTCGGGACAATGCCACAATGGTCGAACGATGAAGACAAGGGCTCCGTGTCTTCTCTCTGACTTGATTTGGCCAGTTCGCAACTACTTAGGAGCTTTGATCCGCTAGAAAGTCAAGGTTCGCTCCTTCCAGGTGGGCACGAAGTCAAAGGTATTGGCACTCTTTCTCCAACAACCTGGACTTTTCTATCTTAACTTCGACATTTGCATTCCGCCTCAAAGCACGGCCAGCCAGGCAAAAGGGGTTGCAAGTCAGCTATTTTGTAGCTGCAGGCTTGGCTGTCTCGTCCTGTCCGAGCCGCCTAGGCAGTCCATGCTCCTGTACTGACGGACTACACACAAAAAATCGATCCTGTACTGAATGACATCTTCAACGATCCAGTCTAGAGGCACTAGACTGGGACCATCTTCCGGGGTCCTTCACTTGCAGTTGCCCACCGAACGATTTAGCACTCACTCCTGGTAGACTCATGCAAAGGAAAATCGCCCACATAGCAGTTTCAGCCCTAGATACATGACAAAAACACCCAATCTGCCAATCCTTCTTGAAATGCGAGGACTAATATAAGAAGCTATAGGCTATAGGTGTACTGCCCGCTAAGGACATAGGAGCTAGTGGAAGTACCTTACAATCTGAAGTCCTAAGTCAAAAAACGACAAGACCTAGGTCATGAGCCTTTGGATAGACAATCACAGAAATAGAGCCTGGGCCTGAAGCCTAAGTCGTCCGCACCTACATATATATATATGTAATGAATATGAATAGGAACCAACAATCCGTACAGAGGTGAATCCATCAAATGCCAAAGTCACCAAACATTGGACAAACCATATATTAAGAGCGATGGCCTCCATCTTACTAGTGATGGCCTCCAACCTACTATGAGATTTCAATAGCTGCATGGCATAGCCAACACCTAAAAATTTCAGATCAAACACCTGGCTGCCTAAGTTGATAAACAGCTAAGAACAAAGGAGATGTTGATCTGAAAACATTCAAAACCACTTGGTGGTGGGCACCCACCTCAGATCAACATCCAAGATCGCCGCACGATGGAAGAGAGGGCTTCTGACATTCGTCGGACGGACCCTGGTGGGAAAGCCCGCGACCTCGGTGACGTCGACCTAAAGACCTAAAGACCTCGGATACGCCATCACTTGTCCCCCTTCTGATTCTCCCTTTCCTTGAAGAGCCTGGCAAGTGTTGCGTCGAATGGAACAGGCCTCTGGCGGTCGTTCTTCGCTACTGTGGTGCCACGGTCGCGATGAGTTTGCTGCGCACCATGGACCTTGATGGTTGATTTTGCACGAAACACCATTACTGAACTACCATCACGAGTCCCGCATTTGTTCATTGGAGCGACTATGGTGGGTCCAATGTGATCATTATGTGAAGTCGAAAGGATTCAACGGGTATATCTCGCAATGTTTGGAACGGGGACTTCGGTCCTCAGTGAGAAGGTTCCACGATGTTCCAGTGGTGAACTTGAAAGGGGTAATGGACCATATTGAACCGCCAAAAACATCCAACGAACAACGACATTCAATACTCACGTGTACCCTATCGTGGTGGTCGTCGACCTTCTTTGTGTCTGATCCAGATGTGTTCACCTTGTTCACCCGTGAAAGAGAGCTCTGTGGTGAGACGCAAAATAAGTATTGATCGATGCGCAGGGTGTTCACCTGCGTGCACCGGCACAATCGCTCTTTTGTCTAATGGTTCTTGTTGAAACACCACAGCTGGCAAAGATGAAAATAAAGGAGAAATAATGAAAACCAACCGAAGAATGACAGACCCACCAACAGACTGATGAAACTGGCATGACAATGTACAAGAGATATTTATTGTTCTTAAGATCGATGCGAAACAAACATCCTGAATGACTATTGGTGGACAACTAAATAATGAACTTTAACAATGTTGATGAACGATAATAAATCCCTTGTTTGTGTCTCATCTGTTGCGACTCAAACGAACTGATCTGCTCAACTGCCGTGCCGCGGATCAGCGAACCCTCTCGGAGGAAAAACATGTTGAACGGCGAACACAGGCGAATATGTGGTTTTCTGAAGTTGTTGAATTTGGGAGGGGTTCCATGGCTCTGACCCAAATGGATTTGTGCACGCCCATCTCAAAAAAAGGGTACCGTCTGGCGCATCGGGCCCCGACCTGTCGAAGAACTTGGAGGTGTCTTCATTTCCATCCTCATCATAACAATGTGACATTGTGGCTACCAAAAAACATGCAGCTTGAGCTTGCCGTGTGAAAACGCTGGCCCTGCCAGCAACATGATATGTGTTTGACCTCCTTTCCAGGGTATTCAGGTCGCTTCGCGAGAACAACCGCCCGGACCAGTGGCTCTCAGAGAGAGGATAAAGGGTAAAGGAAGTATCTATAATCACACTATAGTTTTGGACCCTTTGATACATGATACATTGTTTCGTTGTGTCTTACTTGCCTTTTGCAAGCATTGTTGGTGCCAATTTTCACAACTCAGGGTCGGTTCAGGTGAAAACGGTAACATAACTTTTTTGAGGGGGTGATCTATGATTCAGACATCAAAATAGCATAATGTCAGAATTGAAGCTATGCGTGCTAAATCACACTGTGTGTGTAAAAAAAAAACATGCCTCAAAATGCAGATCCTAGCTCCTCATTTTGGGTGGTGGTTGATATATTTAATGAAAAAATACTCCTGATTCCTGACTTTTTTGTTTTCAAGTGCTACATTGCCAGACAGCCAGACAGCCAACCATGGGCGATCTGGCTAAAACAAACGGTGGGAGAGCACAGTAAACAAAATACAGCAAAATGCGGATCCTAGCTCTTAATGCTGGGTGGTGTTCCCTGCATGGAGAAAAAAACAACATTCAAAGACTCAGAGACCAGACAGAGGATATAATTTTGATATATTTTGAGTGAATAAACACAACTGTGTGCTGTGAAGTTCATTACAGGCTGTAGTGTTGTAGAACAACTTGGGAACTTTAAGTCTGGCCAACGGTTGTTCGCGGTCGCACACGTCCCCGGGAAAGGTTATAGTTCCGAAGATTTTGGAACTACAAGTCTGGTCAACGGTCGTACGCGGTCGTGGCGGGCTCCGGGAAAAGTTATAGTTCCGAAAATGTTCCGGAATTTCCGGAACTGGACCGCGCGCGATCGCGTAGGACCCCCGACGGGACTTTAGTACCAACAACTTTAGAACTATAACTTTTCCTGCAGAACGTGATGACAACCAAGCAAAGTACTGTAACCAAATCGTTTAGCATACTTTGTGCATTGCTTTCTTTTGGCTCATGTCCTGGATTGGACACAACATGCCAGGCTTAACAGGACAACAAAATGTTGATTATCCTAAATCCTAGACTTCTAGATGCTTCCAGATTCAAAATCTAAGTAACAGTCTAATTATATAAACGTTGTCAAATGTGTACATCAACTACGTCAATAACTAATGTATGTTACTAGTTGTTGGTTGATGTGTTGGCTTTCTTTGTAAGCCTGATAGTCTGAGAGTCATCTGGGTCTCATACAATGCCGCGGAGAGCTGTTTGAGACAAGATCGTTTGTTGCACATGGTGTTGGTGTAGTTAGTTTGTTTCATGTGGAGTGATGAGTTTTCCTACGTTGACTGGATGGCCTCTGCGGTTCGGCCATCATTCATCTAAACAACCTCGACATTGGCAGGACCCCAAAAAACTTAGGAACTTTGGTGGATTGCACAAAAACAGTTGGAATGGGTCCTTTGGCACACCAGTCTTAGAAAGACAGTCTGCACACCTCAAAAAGTTATATTCCCAAAGCTGGACGAACTCAAACCCCAAAACCAGGGTGTTGTGAAAATTGGCAATTGTTGGATCAATTTTTCGACACACTTGAAACATCTTGAAATTGTATAATATTTCCAAGGGGGTCCAAAAATAGAGTGCTTATGTACAGTAGTAAAAACATTGGTTATTATGTACAATAAGTTACAATACAATACAATACAAAAGCTTTTTACGACTGCTTTCAGAGTAAGAAACACTTTTTGGGTACCACATTATGTCCATATGAAGATATTGTTGACTTGAAAAATGTAACTGTGGAAGCCCTGAAACATGTACAATTTCGAGGTGGTCAAAAAAAATATTGTACATTTTTTCAGATTGTTTTTACATCATCACTCTACTTTTCGACGCCCTCAATTTCAGGGGGTCCACACTTGTACATAATCATTCTATTGTTCAACCCCTCGAAGTGGTACATTCTTCAGGGGGTTCACATTATATCCATTTTGTACATTCTTCAGAAACCAAACTGGTATTCAACAATTGACAATACCTCCATGTCATATGCATATAATTTGCCCTAAAACCCTGTGAAGGCGGTTGCGAGATTGAATATGCATTGAACATTGAAAACAACAATGAACTATGCCATTAGAATCAGCTGATGCAAATGATGCAATCATGAAACACGCAATAAGACAGAGGCTGTTGAAAGGACCCACTTGTTGTCTTTTCATGGACCTGGTGAGAAACACAGTCAGACATACCTGATATATATATATACATATAAAGACTATGTGTTTTTCAATGCTTTCTCCCACTCCCACTCCTCTCCCAAACACACCTCATGATGGAGAATATGCATATAGATATTTATTATATAGTATATATAAAATATACATTTACGTTCCCAAACGAACGTGCCCTACCTGCCCCTAAAGTTATATATAGCAATGAATGCATAGTTACAGTTTAACGCCTCAGCACCTTCGGTGCGGATTTCGCGCGAGCAGCCAAGGCTCGCTGGGCGCGGTGTCAAAGATCTGGAATTCAGCCACTTCGGAAAGAACACCTCAGCTGGTCAAGATCCAGTGGCATCCTTTAACCGGCAACACGATGACCACCACATGTTTGCAATCCTATAGGCCCCCACCCCATGTCTGAGACTACTGGAAGCCGTCTAAGTACGGGGTTGCTAGGCTTGGAACCAAGGGTATCAAAGTGGATGTTCTTAGAAGAATGGTTTGGATCAACATGAGGATATGTCCCAAACCAGTCAGGATTCATCCATATCGTTCATATCCTTCAATTTCTTGGTGTTCATGGAGAAACCCTTGTGGTGACGGCCCACCGATGGACATGTCAAAAGGTCCCATCGATATGACTTGGGCCTCGCTTGCGGAAAAAAAAGAGACACAAAACATCTTCCGGGAAACGAAACTTTCAGCGACTGAAAAAACCGGACATCTGACTGGTGCCGACTGCACTGTGACAGGCCCCGAGGGAAGAAACGAAACTATCATTATCATTCATTGTGAATTCCGCTGATCAGGGATATATTGCTGGACATGCACTGGCAAGTTGTCCGCTTTTTGCAAAATGCACTGGCCAAATTTGTGATGATTCATTTTTTCGTGTGAGGACCTCTTGGAACATGGAATGTACTTTGGATGTGATTTGAATAGAAGGTCAAGCACTTTCATAATGAACACCAGTCAAACACCCAGCAAAAATGACCACGTTGATCCTTCCTCCCTGCAACTCACTTCAGACTTGGCCACATGGCCTTGGACGTAAACGTTTGAGTAGACAAATGAAATTTACTACAACACATTTGAGCACGTTTGGAGCAACTTGGAATTTCACACTCTCCAAAACCTTCCGTAAATCTTGTATGATCTGGTATGTAATCTCAGGGGCAACCTTCAGAAGCCACCTCGCCAAAATATAGAGGATGAAACAAATGAACCAGGTCAGATCATGCGTGCTTCACCAGGGTCAAGCACCAAGGCCCGTGGGGAGGTTCCCGGAGAGGCCTCGGTCGATTCTGAGAAAGGAAAGCCACCACGATTCACCATGTTTCCTCCGAAAGCTCGAGGAGTCTCAATTTATTAATCTGTATGGATGTGTATATATATATATATTATATAGTGGGTCTCAACGAGTTTCCGTTTGAAGCATGTATACCGGGATTTTTGTATGTCGAGTCAAGACCATGGTGAAAGCGTACATGTTAAAATGCATTTCACATGTCAAGATTGCAGCCTAACACCCCCACAAAAACAGTGTGGTTGCTTCGCAAAGCATTGATGTTGCAGAGGGATTGTGCTCCCATGGTCTACCACAGTGTCAAGACTATGGCTGAACCAACTATCCAAAAGCTCAATAAAAGCCCAACATAGGATTTTAGCATCCGGACAAGACAGTGGTGAAAGAAAATTATCTGTGCCTGAACGCCAGCTTGGTGCCAAGACTAAATCCAAAAAAGCTATTATCCAAATCACAAAGAACTTAACTTGGGCTGAAGATCATCAGGAACTTCTTTCTCTGTAAGATTTAAAGGCAACTAGTGGGGGCTTTGAAAGCAAAAGCTTTCAATCAAGAAAACCTAGAGCGGCAAGAGAAAAATAAGTGGGAAGCACGCTCCGAGTCAGCGCTTTCCCCACAGTCATGGCATGAAGGACTTTTTGAAAATCGTGTGTGCTTCAGTGTCAAGACAACAGGCAAAAACTCACAATTTGGCCTGCAAACAAGTGTCATACGGGCACGGTAAAGCAAACATGTCAGGTGTCAACTGAAAAGTGAAAGTGCCGTTTCCTGAATGTCAAGACTGTTGGGAAAGCGATGGCTGAAACCATTTCGACAGTACTTCGGCCAACGTCAAGACTTTGGGACCCACTATATATGATGGTGTATTATATATATATTATAGTATCTTGCAATTACATATTTGTCTCGAATATGACATATTGTTTGTACATGTGTGCGTGTGTATGCATATATTAATTAAAAATCTGACCTGGCATGTCCTGGCCATCGATCTTAGTACTCGACCTATCTCGGTGTATTCTATTCTCAGCAAGTGCCATACCGAGAGATGTCCAGCTTCCATGTGGTCGGGTGGTGGTCCATAGTTGAAGCCCAAGCGTCTCACCACGATCGAGTAAATACAGCAGGCCGTGACCGCCACGTAGATCAACGTGCTGGAGAAACCTTATGGCATGAGGCACACTGCTCTGAACCAACCTAGAAGCGATGACCTCCAACCTAATAGCGACGGCCGCAGCCAAAACCCCATCGTTTTGATCCGTTATTTCCGCTCCGTCTCTGGCGCCAAGGTGCCCACAAGCTCCACAGGGAGTGGAGTTTGAGCCAAGCTGGCAATACCTTGAAAGACGCCGCCCACCAGGCTCATGAGCACCAGGAAGATGTCCTTAGATTCGAATGCATGTATGGCCCAGTGGATAGTGGATGCATCTATATGGTTCAGCAAAAGGCCAACATCACTAAAATAGCAAAAGTGTAATTACCTTGTTTACGGTCTGTTGCAGGTCATAGGACAAACCCAACTTAGATCAATGATCAGGAATACCCTCAGCTACCTCCAGCTATAGCTTCCGATCCGTCCGGCTGTCATGTGAGGTCGGTGGCCATGTGGGTGGTCGGCAGGGGAAGGCATTTCTGTCGAAAGAAACAAGCAAGAATTCTGTAAACCAACCAGTATGTAAATCCGGAACAGCCAACATGGGTTTGTTCATCTCTCTTCTGCCAAATGTAAGGTTGTTGGATGCTGCTTCAATGAAACAATCAAGCACCTAACACCTATAAGTAGTGTTCGTCCCATCAGCACTGGACATGGGACATGGATGTCTCTGGCATTCAAACCATTGTCATTGTCCAAAACCAAACTGACAGGGCAATAGTGGAGTCAGTTTCGAGCGGTTTTGGTACTGTTTTGACCAAAAACGGCAGGGAACAATTCCGAGCAAAGCGTTTGGTGGTGAGCGAATCCTCAAACGAGAGACAATATTTTTGGCGATTGTCTTCTTGGTCGTTAGCTTGGCTTTTTCGACCCGCTTCGGTTGATACTGGACACATGCGCTCCTTGGCGCTGAAAAAGCGTATCTTATGGCTTGGCGCAATGTCCAGCTTGCTGGACTCTCATTGTTTGCAGCCGAGCATCCAGGGTGATGGCCTGACGCATGACGTGTGTCAACATCGATTTCAGTCACTACAAACCAGGCATTCATCATCACCGATAGAAAGCACTAGTGGGGTGTCCAAAAAGGCTGAGACCACACCGTGGCGGAGACACGGTCCTAGTAAAGCGGTTTCCGTAGCGAACAGTCGCACAGTCGCAGGTGGTCACTGAGTCACTTCATGGCACTGTCCTCACTTCTCAAGGATATGCGAGGACAGGATGCGAGGACGTCAACACCATTCACAGGATATTCACAACGCAATGGTGCTTCGGTAAGAACCATGAAATTCGCGGTGCTTGGAATCCTAGGCTACAATAGTTCTACGTAGACTCTAGAGTATGATGATGCGAGCCCGGGAACGATCGGAAGACAGGACAAGGTAGCACCAAGGACGTCCGACGCGGGTGTGCGCTGAGACGTTTCACCTGACGCAGATTGTAGCGCAGCAGGGCCGGGAGCTCCTTGTTCGACGCCAAGCCCTGCAACGAAATCTCTGCAGGGGTAGATAGTCCACAGCTGGACCAGTGCTCGAAGACGTTTGTCAAACAGAGCCACCCCAAGCACCACTGCAGAAGGGGAAATCATCTCTGCCCATTTTGAAGAACACCAAACAAAGATATCATTATATTTGACTACAAAACCACCATTACCAACAGCTAACTAACAATCTGAAAAGTACTGATATTAACAACTTCTTCTGCTTTCTGAGGCTGAGATGAATATTGTCAGGAATACTTGGACGAGTCTAATTTTCGAGGTAGGGAGTTCGCAGCGGTGGGAAGCTTTTGGTTGGATAGAACTTCAGGAAGGCATTGACACACAGTCAATTTTAGTATATACAGTATTTCTTTTTAACAATATAATTAATGATACAAACAAAAAACACTAATTCCGTCTCAACAAAACAGCAAGGAATGCAGAATGAAATCTCATCCCTTCATGTTGAACATCTTCGTTGCCCAAAAACCTTCAGTTCTCCGATTCGGAGAGTGGCCAGATTTGCCAAGAAAATGATCCAAAAGCTGAAATATCCAGCTTATTAGGATGACGTGTGGATTCTTCGCAGCCCCAACTGTGACATTCTGAGAAGTGTAAATCCCCAACGATGGGTGAAACGACTTTGCTCCACCACCATTTGTCCTATGACCATGGTTCTTGGGACAAGGCCACCTTTTGCAGCGGGTTTCATCCTGGTGCTCAACCCCCATGGTATTGGAAGCACGAACCCCTCCAAGACGGCTTTGGGTATCCCTTTCTTTGCGACCAAAACAGATTCCCAAGGCCCTAAGCCTATAAAAAGGGTCTATCTATTCCAGGAATGTCATTATGTCATGCCTTTTTGATCCTTTTTGGGCGAATTCCAACAGAATGAAGAAACACCATTTAAAACAACTGGGATCCTAGATCCTAGATGGAACTTCTCAAAAAAGGATCTGCCTTCCTCATTCATATGTTCCTATCCGCCACCAACATGGTTCTTGTCCTGGTTTTGAAGCTGCAATTGCCTGCATCACAAAGAAAAGTGCCAAATAACCTCAGGGAATACTGGTGGTCGTCGCATGGACATCGGGTGCAGTGTAAAGACGTGTCGCTCAAGGCATAGTTTTAAACACACTTCCATGCATGTCAGGTATTTTCACGAGATGTGCCACTGCTCATCTTTCAAGGAGCTTTTGAGTAATTAATTAGCATAGTTAGTTTTGACTTGATGTAACAAAACTGCCAAAGCGACTCCAAGCACAGTCTGACTGAGATCTTATCACAGGCCGCGCGGCGCTACTTACTTTTGCTGCTGCATCTACAAATTACTATACAAACAACCTCTTATCAACATGTGCCAGCATATCTTGAAGCTCCAGTGCATCTTTGGTGGAGCATCTGATCTGGCAGGCTTGAGGCCAATTTGGGAAACTCCATCTACATCCTGACAACAATCTGAAGGCGTTCATTTGGGATCATTCAGTTGTCTATTCGAACAGGGAGACCCCCTAGCCCAGTGTATTCCAAATGCTTTACTCAATGTTTGTCTTTACCAGGGCCTGGCTCCCTTGTGAATGGTTCAATGCACAGTCAATCGGACACTACATCAGCTAGTAGAAACATTCTGCGGAATCGGGCCACGTGCAATTCCATGCCAGCTTTTTGAAGAATATGGTCTCAGCCAATAGACGAAACATGTTGGGAAAAAAAGCAGTGTTGTCTTGTTTCTCCTTTGGCATTCTAGCAGTCTTTGATGAGTACTGCCAGAAAGTGAAAGACTTTCCACAGTGTAAACTACTCTACACCGACTGGCTCTGAAGCCTGGCTCTGAAGCCTGGCTCTGGAGGATCCAATAATGGACCAAACCGTGTTAGAAGTTTGGGAGGAGTAGTGGCAATAGCAGAAAAGTACTACATTTAATGCTGGTATATGTTGTTGTTGGTCCAGCAGTCGTAGTAATATTAGTGGCAAAGGGGGTTGAGCTTGCGACCCCACGGGGCTTCAGCTTGCGAACCCGGTTTCACATAAGTACTGGGTCGGCTTGGGCCTGCGTTTGGAGAGAATCAAGTACATCTCTGTTCTCAGTAGTACCTACAAGACTATAATGAAAAACAATCACCACCAAGTATTCAGACCTAATGCTCTCTCATCCCATCCCAACGTGACAAAACCCAGGCACCCTGCTTGACCCCAGGTCAAATGAACAGATTCCTCTATGTGCGGGATGTCAATCGAAACCATGGTTTGCTGAGGGAGCTGCCACTCAGTCCAAGGAACCCAGTCCAAAAGGGAGCGCGTTGATCAGCAACGCCGGCAGCACCTGGTTCGACGTTCGAACGCGACACTGGCCGAGGCGGTTTGCGGTTGGCACCGAAAAGGGACCGCGACGGCAATCTGAGCACATGCATATCATGTAGAGACTTTAGACGGTCAGGCAGGCAGGCACTCTTACTTATATACAAATCCCCAAAGGATGGCCTAGCGGGAGCAGTCTTACTCACCATAAGAACCATTCCAAGCTGGATGTGTGACATCACACCTGCTCTTACCAGGCAACCCAACTTTTTCACGAGCACATCGTGCACAAACCAAAATGAACGAGATGCTCTCTTGGTACGCAAAACCGGTTGTACGAGCACATCTCTGCCGCCGCACCAGGAAATTCAAGAGCGGCTGAACGAAGGGGAAGGCGGCGAAAAGGAACAAACCTGGGACAGCACGATCCGTGATCAGCTGGGACGGAAAGTAGCAAAGTAGCAGCTAGCAGTTTCAATCCGTCCAATAGACCTTGGAGACACTATCTGTTCCTCTCATTCCTAAGCAGTTCTTTAAGGACTATAAGGTCTATGTGATCCTGCGGAAAAGCAGGCAGCAACGGAGTGTTCAGTTCAACCTCTGGTGTGCCGATTTGAGGGTGTTGAGGGTGTTTGAATGTGTTTGATGAGGCGAAAAGGAGTGCTGTCAAGGTTAAATGAACTTAGCATTGTTGGTTGTACTGTTAAATTATGTTAAATGCAATCAGTAGGCCAGACCATGGATGTCGTCTCCGGAATTTGAGAGGCGGTATCTCACATCAAAACCTGTTCCTGGACGGAACATCAAAACCTGTTCCTGGACGGAAGCAAACAAAACTATTATACAACATTGAATTATATAAATGCCGCCGCCCAATCAACTCTCAAACACATTCAACTTCATTCAACCTTCATCTACATTCAACATGTCTCATTTTTCAGATCTCCCAGCCCCCCGGTCCTCTCTCTCTCCCTCCCTCCCTCCCTCCGATTCTCCAAGGGGCCGAAACGCAGGGCATCGGTGAGAGGCAACAAATAAGCTGCGAAGGACCCCGCGCGCGTCAGCAAACCTGTGTCCTCGGGTAAGCTGAAGCTTCGCGAGGTTCTGTCGCGCGCGATGGAAAGGAAGAAGCGGTCGTCTCAGACTCAACGATGTTTTTAACAGTGAAACCTCGCTTGACAGCGGCTGTCTCAGAACTTGGAGGGAGAAAAGGGACATATGAATGATTGCATAATGAGCATTTTCCGCATCAGAGAGCAAAGTGAGGTCCATTCTGATTCCATTATATCACGACTCGACAACAAACGGGAAATTAGTTGTAGATACAAGTCATCAAGTCCTCAACACCAGATGGCAGCCCTGGAATCCAAGTTGGTCTACGTTGGACAATTCCACAGGTGATGCAAGCACTCCGGATTTCACAAGAAGCCCGTCTCCTCGTTCCGGGGAGGCCGACTTGCCAGAAACTGCTCCCACTCTTTACCTGAGCAAATGTGCATGTTTGCTCAACCAAGAATGGGAAGTCTGCCCGAAGCTTTAGGTGGGTTCGTTGTGCAAGAATGCTTTTTGTGGTTGCAGGGATGGATCCGCGCGTCCACAGGAGCCTATTTTGCTTCACACGAAAATAGCTGGCACCCTGAGACTCCACGGGGCTAGCATATCTGCCTTGGGATCATTGGAGTGGTTTCAAAGGTCAATGTATGTTCATACAAGGAGTGTCTGGGATGTACAACTGAGATTCCTTGCTCATCAAGTGGATGATGCATCGGTACTGAAAGTTTGCTGGGTTTCCCGGCAAGTAAAACAAAAAACACAACGCTTCGCCGCCTATGAAATCTACTGGCAGTCTATTCACCTTCGTTATTTTTGCAAACATGCATTCAGTCATCAAACATGGAATGCTTCTCCCTTCAGGTGCTTCAGGCAAGACTTGACAAGCAAAACAAACCGTTTTGCTGTCCAGGCAGTGATGAAATTATATGCATTGCTGCATAACATAGTTATCTATATATAATATATATAGTAGTTATGATTATATAGTTATGTATTTGTTCTGACTCAGCTCACTATACTGAACTTTTAGACGCTCAGCATGTATACTGAGCTTTATAGCATACAAATTGAAAGGCGCAACGCTCCGCTTTTTCTACGTACAAGCAATTTCGTTTTGCAGAGTGGCACACCCCGAAAAAAGGCACATGTCTAAGAACCACAACTGCACCAAAAACCTTTTACTCTCAGCCTTCTTTTCAATCGTAGTTTGGGATTCACCACAATGGCAAATCATCAATTGCTTTCTGCATTGGAACCTGAAGGATGGCAAACCCTTGTGCCCCTCCTTCCAAGTAAAAGGAGCATGCTAAGTTTCTGACCGGCAAATCCTCTTCCAAGACAGTGCCATTGCTAAACTCCCAAGGATTCGATCATATCATATGAATCAAACTGCTTTTCCAGCAAGTGGCACATATTTATGCCATGAAACACGTTTCGTGCAGCCCAATGTTTGCCGACCAAATGGAGACTCTTGCCGACAGGTGTTTGTGACAATATATGCAAAACTGCGAAGAAGTAACTCTCGAAATGAAACTGGATTTCGAGAACAAATGACTATAGTTTGTGCGTCACCAAACTGCAAACAGAATGCAACTGCGGACTTTTGGTAGTATTTTCGTCTGCTTTGAAAGCAAGAACAATTGGTAGTATTTATGAGTAAACAAAATACGGTGTGGCATGTTGCAATAGATATTGAGTCATGTGCACCCCCTGGCCAATTCAAGGGACCATAGGAAGAACTGCAAATTATGGCTTATGACTGACTTCGGTCGTCTTTCAAGAGTCGTGGACTGTTCATCCAACACATGATAGTCTTGTTGATGGACTACATGCCGCTAAATGTAAATGTTTGTTTTGGACTTTTCTCCTGTTTAGTAGATTTGGCTTTGCTGTTGCTCAAGCCAAGACACAGAAGCCACCGAAGCCAAAAGCCAACTCCACAGACGCCAAAAACCATAGAAGCAACAGGTAGCCCAAACAAAATTCGAAAGAAAACACAAACAAATGCCCTCCTATTCCCTCGTCTGACTCAAATCCCAAGTGATGGTTCATCAGTTCATCCATGTTCATCCTATGACGTTGCCAAAGCAACATTCTTTGATTGGTTCGCCAAAAATGCTCCAAAAATTGTTTCCACCACCTGCAACACGAGTCAAAAAGCTTTCTGATCGAGACGCGAAGCATCTCCTCTTCGGTGGTGGCATATGCAGCGGTCTTCTCCGCCTCTTCCTTGTCTTGCAGCTCCTTGCGAAACCTCGCCGACGAAAAACGGCTACCGCTGCTGGTGCGGAAAGAGAAAACAAACACAGGTTGGGGAACAGACTGCACTTTGTGCACAATGTTGTACAACTCATATACACCGTATTCAGAATAGATGACTATATCCGGAAACGAGCAGATGGCGCCAGAAAGTGCCAAAAGCGCCTGCGGAAAACCGTGATAAAAAAAATCATACATACCTATGCATCCTCAAGCATAATAAATGGCATTCCACCCATTCACAGAGTAGACTTGCGCCATCTTCTGCAAAGAACACTGGTATAAGATGTTGATTTTTGTAGACAACCTCTCTGTTAAATTCCAATTGTTTTTAATGTTCTTCTCTTTGAACTGTCTTTCTCTCTCCTTCTTTCATATTCTCTCTCTCTCTCCTTCTCTTCCTTTCTCCTTTGCTATCCTTTCCTTAATGTTTCCTTTCCCTCTCCTTGGATGCCTTTCTTTTCTTTCCTTTCCTTTCCTTCATTCACTTTTCCTTTCTCTATCCTTCCCTTGCCTTTCCCTTCACCTTTCCCTTTCCTTGCACTTCCACTTGAACCAATAACAGAACGCTGCACGATAATAGCTCAGTAGATGGCACAACCCTTGTGTGAAAGATGATTAAGATGGTTGAGCCAATAGATACTGCCAAGTAGATGGTGCAACCCTTGTGTGAAAGATGATAATGATGGTGGCGGCTATAGATGGCGCAAACTCATTTCCCTATCCTTTCCAGTCCTTCTTGTATCTAACATGTTCCTTTTTTTCATCTCCTGTTGATTAATTCTGTTCACTTCTCCTTTCCCTTCCCTTCCCTTCCCCTTCCTTTTCTGGACTAGTCTTTCCATCTATTTCTGTTTATTGTTCTTTTGTTTCCTCACCTTTGCTTTCCTATCCTTTCCCTCTCCTCTCCGTTTTCTTTCCTTTCCTTCACTTCTCATTTCCCCTCTATGGTGCTTTCATGGGTTTCCTCTTGCCGTTTTTCTTTGCAACACCGCTCTCACAAAAAAAAACACATAATTTCACAGAAACCACTCAAAACACATCATTGGAAAGGTGGCTTGCGCCATCTAATGTCGTGCTTGCTGCTTTCAGGGCCAAACATTTTATAGCGGTCTTTCACGAAACGGATTGTAAAAGTAGATGGCGCAAAATCCATTTCCGACTAATAGTTTTCCATTCATTGTCACGGTTTTCCGCCTAACATGGCTTGCGCCATCTGCGTCTGTTTGTTCGTTCCAGAGGCGTTTTTTTCCCTACACAATAGATGGCGCATTACAAAAACCTGAGCCAAGTTTTCTGACCCCAGAGTAAAATGATCAGTAGGACACATGTTAGCATGCGCCGAATACCGCACTGTCACTGGAGTTGCTACGTATCATAAGTTCACTGAGTGCATCTGCTCTAATTTGCTTTGGAGCGCAGGCTGTGGCTGGTGTGCTTTTCTCTGAAAATGAGTTCTCAAGCAGTCTGGGAAAAATAATGCACTGGCACCTTGTCAGTGAGGGAACCCCGGCAAATTCCTGGTATACTGGCTGATTTCTTGGGCTCCCCGGCTCCCCCAAGACTATCTACTATTTGTTTTTCTCTGATCTAGTCACGCAATCATGCATTCTGCTGGAAGCTTGCACCCTATTCCCACAAATTCTGAGATTCTCACTCTATCACCCGTCTCTCGAATCCAAACCCACCCTGCTCTGCTCCGAGCAGAAGCTTCGTCCCAAGTCGCTCCCTCAGCAGTCGCTGCACGGCATCAAAGTCCAGCTCTTCAGGCTGGATGATGCCGTCACCTCGATCGGCTCCGAAATCTCAGGGGTCACGACGGTCACGCATTCTCTCCTTTTGTTTCTGGAGCCGGTGTTCACACATTAAGTTAAAACACATCAACATTGCCTATACAAACATGTAATATGTATATATGTATACGCATTGACATTATATGACCAAAGTGAGTATGCCTTCAACTTCTAGGTCGAGTGGTCGAGCAGGCTCACCTATTTGGAGCTTGGCCCAGATTTTTGTTCCAATCCAATGATTGAACTTCCTGTGGCCTTCTGCATGGAAAGTGCTATCCAGCAAAACCCTTTTATATAGACCAGCATTGTGTAGACGGGGAACCAGGTATTAATTCTGCGATGTAGCAATGTCAGGCCAGTCAAAGGTTTGCACAGGAAGTCTGTTTGCACACCCAGAATCTAAACATTGCTGAATATCAAAACAATAAATAACAACTTACACGATCGTATACTAATGACCAGGGCCGAGTTAATGATTATATAATGCAAGAGCCTATCTCCCAAATCCTCACCCACCAGCCCACTAGCAAGTGTTCGAGGAACTCATTGCAAATCGTACTGTTTGGCTGCCATTTTGCAGCGCTGGACCCAGCATGACCGAGGTTAGTTCCCTGCGGGCAAAACCATGGTCTTAGTCTTGGAGCGAATAACATCTATACTGGTTTCTTACTTCAATCCAAACAAATTGGCGCATTGTTGCAGGCATGTCAGGTTGGACTAGCGCCAGTCTCTGATTTCTTATAGAAAGGAGAAACTTTGAAGCCACAGCAATGCTCTATGACCTTGACCTGCAGCTTAGTGTATCTGGCTCTTTGCTTAAGGATCGATCGTGCCCCCTCTTTGAGGAACTCCTTTCAGTCAACTGTCGAAATCTGCAGTTCAAGGTCTGGTGGACTTCGAATTTCAGACCCCAAAATCACCAAGTGAGTGAATCCTTTCAAACCCTCCTCTCAAGCGCCTAACCCTCAAACCACCCGTTCCGCCCTTCTCTGTGACCCACCTAGACGAACGCCACTCCCAGGGAAACTTAACTTATATTAACTAATAGCTTCTTGTTACTAGTAGTAAGAATGCTACTAGTAGAAATGCCAGGAGCTCCTAGTAGCGTCGATGCTCCTAGTAGTAAGGCCAGGAGCCCCTAATAGCTTCTTGTTACAAGTTACTAGATGTTCCTAGTAGTAATTGTTTGTCCAACCTAATAGCTTCTTGATGCTTCTTGCTCTTCCCAAGGACCGTTCAGGTCCAACGACTTCACCAGCCGCTCCGCCGTGGCGTCGTCCACGTCAGCGCCCATGACGTCCTCCGGTTGCTCCGGTGGGGCCGCCCGCCGTGGGCCGCATTGAACCCAAGTTATAACCATGGATGACCAAGCAAATGGTCATGGATGGTCTGAAAAAAATACAATATATATATAATATATATATACACACATGGATGCCCCTGTAACCAGCCATGGGTCACCATCCCTGTAATAATATCATGTAACTAATTAGTTCATACATGGATGGTCTGTGATCGAGTCACCAGGTTCAGTCACCATGATCTTCTCCCATCTCTGCCATCGGTCACGGACAGATTTGAAAGAATCAAACACATGGGAGGACCGCCTGCCTGGCCTGTTGAGCACAAACATCAGGCAAAGCGTAGGACACATCTTCCTTTTCTTTAATCTTTGTTTCTAGTAGCGATGGCCTCCAATTGATTCAACATCAATTATTCAAACAAAGACCAAGTTGGAAGCTGGTCTCTTAAGAACTCCTTGGTTGAGGGTCGTGTTGGAAACAAGCCCCATCTTGTGCGGGCGCGAATGAATCTGGGCCCAATCGTTCCACATCCGCCTCTCGCCTTGATACCCTTCTGCAACTCCTGACGTGAATGTAGCTCAAGAACCGACGGGTTCGGCGTCGAAGAATCGGAACTTGCGAACAGGTTCCACTGTAATCAGGTTCCACTCTCGACCTCATGTTGCAGGATCGAGACCCTGCGCCAAGGAAAATGCTGGGACTTCATTGAGAGGCTCTTGCACACCAACAGCTTGTCCCTGCATTGAGAGGCTCTTGGTAGTTGCCAACTGTGGGAAAATGCAAGACATGGAAGACCCAACTCTGATGAACAAAAGAATTCAATCAATAGCTCTCTAATTTCTAATGCTCTATATCAATGCCTAAAGTAAGTCTTGCCACCCACCAGTGCAGCGAACACCAACCAAAAAACCCAAGCACCATCCATGGCTGCAGTACCCTCTCCCATACTTCGTCCAAAATTCTGACGAATGGTGCAGTCACTCGTGTGAAACACACGCTGTAAAACATTGCAAAACCTAGTCCCTTATTTCGAGTGGTACACGTTGGGCATCGTTGGGCGCTCCATACCACAACTTGTCTCATGGTGGACTTTTTCTCCACGCCCAGTTGCCCCGCAAAATCACTCCGATCCGCTTTGACTTGCATGAATTGTCTCACCCAACCTTGGCGTCCAGCGCCCCAGAGCTGTCGGTATCCAAAATGCGGAAGAGCGCTTGGCGCTCCTTCCGCCGGGCCTCTTCCTGACGAGGACTCCAAGGACGGTCGTGTTTGGAACAGGAACAGTCAGGTGTGCTATGCCATGTCTTTTACAGTACATGTTTTAAGCTCTTCTTCAGGAGCAACAAGTTTGGGATAGGATGATAGAGTAACATGGAAGTGAACATGTAACATGTGAGCATGGCCCCCAGAAATAAGATGAAATAAAACTGTCTTTTTACAATCCGGTTCCGTCTCGTGTTCTGAGTGGTTCAAAAGCACTCACTGGTTGGGAGGTGAGCACTCACTCCATCCACAGGGCGATGAACCGCCGGTGATCTCGTGACTTCGGTGCCAAAAGAGTGGTAAAGACCGGTTGCTAGTAGTGAGCACAGTGAGCACTCCCTCCCTTGAAGACAAATGCAGTCAACCTTGATCTGTGTCTTCAGCCCAAATGCATGTTTACCATAGACACACCAATACTGCTGTGATGGCTGCATCTGTGCCATGCGGCCTTGTATCAACATCTGTCAACAGAATCTCTCAAGTCTGCGACTTCGCAAAAACACACGCACACACACACCAGCTGTGGAGCAGTGTGTCATGTTTGCGGCGTTTGCTCAACACACGGAATCCCCAGTCACACCGTCGTTTGGTCACACCGTCCGGTCATCCACTGGAACATTGACGTCCTTCCTTGTGTTGTTACCAATATACAATATAGATATGTAACACACACACACATATGTATATATATATATACATGTTATAATGAACTCCTGGGTGTTGAGTCCAAAATCAGCCCTAAGATTCGGGGGGTGTTGCTCGGGGCCAAGAAAAGGTCCTCTCCCTGGAGTTTCAGAAGGTGCCTTTTTGGAGGAAAGTCGGGCGATTCCGGCGATAAGCACAACTATCTTGGTCGCCCAGTGCATTCGACAGCTGAATCTGCACCTGCTCAGCCTCAAGCTGGGCCACCTCTGCCCGAAGCTTTGCAGCCTCAAGACAAATACATCAGGTTGTTTAAACGTATAACATTACAATAACCAGCAAGAAAGAAAAACAAGTGCTGGGTTCGCTCACTATGCTGGTGATGTTGACAAGGCATTGACAGTGTTTTCTTGAAAAACTGCGATGCAAGAAATGACCACAATGACTACACTATTGGTTGCGAGGTTGGTCTAGAGTCTAGAGGAGCATAGAATTCCTGCAGGACAGTCTAACCTGATGTGGACGTTGATGATGTGCTTGCAAACAACCCCCATCATTGCATGTCGATCCTTGCAGCTTTGTAGAAGATATTGATGGTATTGTCACCCAAAATCCAGACATCTTACCAGCATGCACAGATGAATAGGGTGCCCACTGGGCGGGTCAGTGCAAAGCATGCAAGGCAAACAAATGTTTCCTTCGCAGTCTGCAAAATTGAAACCTGGTAAACGGAGAAACCCTCCAACCCTCGACTGCTTGCTGGTTCAGGGGATCAACAAGTATTGTGTCCTTTTAAAGAGTGGTTCGCTTACCTCCCACATCCTCCCACCATTCTTAACATGATCCTGCGATGTTTAATCCTTTTGGCTTTTCGTTCGCGTGACCCACCGGCCAACTGTTCGTCCTTCCTCGCCTCTTTGGCCAAGGCTTCTGGGTCTTCCTCGGGTAGAAGGATCTAAGCTACATGAAGCACCGAATTCATCACTGGGGAGTGGAGGGGTCAATCCTGGAGCCTTGAAGAACTTGGACCCATCTGCCCTGTCGCAACAAATGGGTCGAACAGGTTGAGTGATCCTGCACTTTCATTCCCATCCCGATATTTCGAGGGCAGGAGTGTGGACGGACATCTGCTGGACCTGAGTCCGGATGGAGCAAAATCTTGGCACCAAAGCTTCGGGTGTGCCTGGTCAAAACCCATGCGTGCCTGGGAAACAAATGGGTCCAAAGCAGGGGTGTGGTGGGGGCCTGAACAAGGAGTCTTCGCCATCCTATCCCCTTAAGCTCACCCCTAAAGCATCCAAAAGCTCACATTCTAAGGGTTCCGCATCGCCGCAGATCGAAAGCATCCAAAGGGTCGGTGGAATGGATGGTGTACTATGGTTGCTGGATGTTCCTGGGTGACTGGCTCTTCCAACCTTGATCGACTGTGCAGATCCTTCTCTGGCGACTGTGCCACATCTTGTATTATATTGTATTAAAGGGAAGCATCTGATGCAAACATCAAGTGGTCAGGAAGCAACACCATCTCCTTGTGGTGAGGGAGGAACATGGAGAAAGCAAATTGACACGTAGTTCCAACAAGGCTGAAATCCAATTTTGCCTCGCCACCGTGCTTGAACCTGCGGGCGAGGCTGGGGAGAAGCTGGCGAAGCGTGTAGCTTCTCGTCCGAGTGGTTGATGAGTCGAAAATGAACGCATCGAACGAGTCTCGTGTAGCTTCTTGCTCCGTTCGTAGCGATGCCCGTTGTTCCTACTAGCTTCTTGTTACTAGTAGTAAGGTCAGGAGCTACCAGTAGCGTCCTTGCTCCTAGTAGCAATGCACCTGTTACTACATACTTGAAAGCACAAAAGCTGGCACAAATGAGCTATGCCAAAATCCCGAACAACCAAACGACTTCCAGAAAAGCTCTCCTTAAGAAGTCATTGAACGCTCACTTGAACTACTTTGATTGATGAATAGATTCGATGCGACATGGGATTGGATTGAAGGGAGTCCTTGATCATCCTTGAGCGAATATGGATGGCTGACCACACTACTCAAACCACATCCAGTGGGGGATTTGAGTGATTTTCTGCTGATCCGAAAACCAGTTCATGACCTAAGTTCGTCGACCAAATGTTGAGAATAATTAGACTTCATGATAGTCAGTTTTGTGAAGGTACTCTGAACTTCCCACTTTCAACCATTTGTCTGCGGCCCTTCAACTCCGCTTGTTCTAGAAGCAACCCTCAACCACTGAGCCTGTTGCTTGCAGCACCAAATGACGCCGCCCCATGCGGGCGTAGCGGTGCACGCGGCCAGCGCGGGCACGGCTGTGGCCAGCGATGAGGGCAGTTCCAACTGAGCAGGAGAGCGTGCGTGAATGGGCGGAATTGTTTGCAAAACAGCGCTCAAACTATAAGCATATACACTAGAAGTAGCGCGTATGTGTAGATCCAGCATTCACTTGCAGCAACTTCAATAATTTGTGTGCAGCCAGTTCCAGGAATGTTCCAGGCCTCACTTCGGACTTCGGACGTTTCGATGTTCGTTTCTTCCGGAGGGTTTACGTGTTGGCTCCGGCAAGGACGTCAAGGAAATGAAGCACCACCCGTGATTGCCGTCAAATCCACTCAACTACGCTGGAGTCCAGTTGACTTCGTGGAGTACGTGATCTCTCACGCAAAAATGTGCCAAGCTAAGTCGAGAGACCGAAGCCTTCACTTTGAAGGTCAAAAGCATCTCTAATTTTGGATTAGAAGAGGAAACAAATGAGAAAGGTCAGTGATGCCGTGCGAACAGTTTTTGTGTTTTCTGCAAACATGTATACCGTACGATATATGAAACAATACTTATATACATAAAATTGACCTTGTGAGGTTCCATTCGCCGTGGCTATCGTTGGTTCGACGGGTTAGCACATATTAATTCTATAGCTCTAAACCAACAACCAGACTTGTCCTTGAACCTGAAAACTTCTGCTAACTCAAACTATAAACCGTCAGCTAGCCACGGTCATTTCTCAAGGGTGTGCACATGATTTATGAAAACGTGTCTCTTCTCATTCACAAGTCGGTCGACTTCAGGGTTTGCTGCAAACCTTCCGTCAAAGTGCAAAGGGTGTGATCATTGATGTTAGCTGAATAAAGCTGAGAGGATAGATATGTCATATGTCAGAGCAACTTTGGATTTATATATTTGTGAGTCTGAGACTGTAACATTTCTTTGTCAACAACCTCGATGTTAGTAGAAGGATGAGGGGTCGAGAATCATGCAGTCTAAGGTTATAAACATGTTAAGCAAAAAGACAGCTAGATAAACACGAGATGGTGATGGTAATATATCTGGTGCGACTGCAAGTGGAGGCATGTAGCGAAATAATACTGAGAAGAGCAGGAAGGATGGACAACTGCCCAGCCCGGTTTGTTTGATTCAGAAGGAAGTAGAACAGCTCTCAAAAAAACAACACAATTGAATGGCTTGAGATTCGTCCCTTTCATGCAAAGTTGTTTTGTATGGACTCAGGTGGTCTAAACAGTGGCGTGTTTTAAAGTCAACAAATGTGAGTTCCTCATTCGACAATTTGGTTTTGAAAACTGCTCCTCAAATCTGAGACATCTGGGTCTTAAAGGCTCGCGTTCCAGTGAATGCAATACTTTGACATTGATTGAACTTGCAATGTTGAAACTGGAGAACCCAAGCACACTCTTTGTATTTATCTGCGCAGGGAAGAAGGAGCTCAGCTAAAACTATATGGCCTGACCATGTTTGTCCTTGCATAGGACACCACACAGATTGGCACGGGTGCAGAGTTTTATCAGGGGTGGGGGTTCCAGAGGATCTAGAGGTAAACAGAAATGTGTTGTTCATGCCAAAAAGATCCAACAAGTGTCATCTAAATGGAGTAAAACGAGTTCATCTTCATCAACTTTTCTTCAAACATAGAGGTCTGACTTGCAAGGTTCACATGGCTGACCAAAGAGATATGAAAGGGAAGCGTACAAGTGCTGCGTGAGAGTTCTCATCCTTCCGTTCACTCTTTTTGCACAATTACGGCTGCGCTTTTGGCACATTGGAGAATAAAAACGGATTCCGGGGCTAGGGCGCGGGGCAGGGTGTGGCAGGATTGAGCATTTTTTGGATGGATTTCAGATGTTTCAGCATTTCTGCCGTTTCCCTGGGCCCTGGACCGTGGCAGCAGGGCGAAAGTGTGAGTGTGTTCAATCTCAGTCCAAATGTCCAAATCAGAATTATTTGCAGTCATTTGCATTCTCATTGTGTTTGTGATGGGGCCAAGTTCTACAGAACTCAAGTAGGATGAAACAGAGTTGGCTTGAGGTTTCTCCATTGCTTGAAAGACAGTTCAGGGCTTCGCAACAATACAACTATACGTGCACACGTTTGCACTCAGCAGGCCTTAGAAGAGGTGAGCTACTAGGTGAGCCATATTTGCAGTAAATGCGAGAGAGAGAGAGAGAGAGACACAAAGAGAGCCTGCCAAGCCAAAGGGTTTATGCAAAACCGTCCATCAGCAGGACCTGAGCGGGCAAGATCTCAACCTCCAGTGCGGCAAAAAAAACGATCAAGAGAGCAAAATCTCCACGACCATGATTGCCAAATTCTACTGACGAAGCCTCAGTGCCACACTGACAAAACGACATGGGATGCTCTGAATGCAAGGGCCGTGTTCCACCTTAGTCCCAATCAGTGTTATTTTTTTCGGCAGCAACCAGGACCGTCAGAATAGCGAATGCACCATGGAGATTCAGAACGGAAGGTATGGAAGGTCGTGGAATCCAGTGGCCTGATTTTGTTTAATTTAACAACATATACACATATATAATATATATTATTATATATATTCCAGAATAAGATGAACATCTTGGAAACATGCTAGGGGTCTTCAATCAAGGGACTGACATCTCAACATAAATTTCAGACATGCATGTCAGATGAATCCTACAAGTAGGGCTAGAGCCTCTTGAAAGACATTCAGACATTCAGTGATCGTCCGAGCTTTCCTCTTCTCGTCCAATCGGGCGCCTGCCACAGTACCCACTGGCACATCGCTCCGCTGCCCCGTCTCCGACTGCCGCGCCAAGGTGGGACGTGCCACGGGAGACGGCGCCGCGGCAAACAGCGCCACGGGAGACGGAGCAAGCCGCGCGTGGTACGGCGCAGCTGAAAGGCCTCAGGGTGGAATGTTCCACGAGGTGGGAGGGAGTTGGAAGGAACAAAAAAGGGTCAATTAAATTAGATCGCTTCACCATTCACACTTCTGTTGAAGGAATTCAGAGGGACTTTTGGGGGTACTAGTTTTCCCTGATAGAACAGGCGGCTGTTTGATTGGTCTAACAGCCAAAGCGGGGACTATTCTTGTTAATCAGGATGCAAGGAGTCCAAACCCTACACATGTTGCAGTTGACCCTAGGGAAGTCTTTGGAAGGTTCTTCCTTCTGGCCACACCAGTGACGTCTGCATGTTCATGGTCTGCACCCCCGCCCACCTTCATCCGGTCATCCACTGGAAACAACTCACAAAGACAACGACGGCACATTCGATGCCGAACACTGGTGGTTGGTTTTCCCCGACCTATCGGATGGGATCCTGCCAACCTCCAGGGCGTTGACCCCAGTTCTCTCCTCGGTCAGCTCTCGGTCGTTTCGCGGACCGAGGGCTCCAGCGGGCAAAGGCGGTCCTCAGGTGCTGTCCGGAGTGCGCGAGCGCATGTGTTGGGTGTGCGCTTTAATGGCCGGTGCAAGCAAAGAACCGCAGGGAGTCAGGGTTTCACATGCTTCACCGCTCTTTCGCGGTTTTAGTCTAGTTAGTACACGTGAGTACACAATTATATATCACAATTGGTTTGTAGACCAAAACTATAGGGACTGAGAGTCTTAGAGTACACCGATTCGGATGGTCAAGGTTTCCTGTCAGAAGACTGACCAATTGCAGGCTGTTGTGTTGTTTCTTTCACATATTGTATCTCGATGATCCAGGTGTGATGCCCAAAAGCAGACCTCCAGCCACTTCAGCCTCTTCTAATTCTATGACATCTATGAGTTCAGCTGTTTGTCTATTTCAGCTGTCAGCCTAGAGTAAGCCCTTTCAGCTGTCAGTTGTTTGTCTATTTCAGCTTCAGCTGTCAACTGTCATCTATGAGTTCAGCCTCACATCTTTGCAAAAACGCGGCTGTAAGGCTTCAACCCTAGTCAACCCCTAGGGCGCATGCCCAATGGAAACAGGAATGAAGGGACTAATCATCACCCTGTGTGTGAGCAATGTCTCTTCAGACTGTATCCTTCAAGGCAGTGCGGGCAATGAGTATGACTAAAAAGAACCTTTAATTTGACTCTATATAAACATCACCTCAAATTCAATCAAATTCATGCCATCATTCTGAATGTGCCTTTCAGCGGGTGAGTCTTGGGTTTCTTCTTTGGGCCAGTCGTTCCACCTCCACAACTGTTCCAGCGGTCTGCTCATCTCACTAAGGCACATCTTCTGAGGTGGTCCCGGGACAACTCTGAATTCAGCACCAAAGGCTTGAGCATTAAGACCAGGGAGTTCAGAGTTTGAACAACAAAACAACCGTTTGTTGAATCTACTACAAAACCATTTAAGGCATTCAAATTCCACAATTGACAAATTGCAGTGCTTTGCTTGTCTACCGTAGATGATGTTCAACCCCTATTCACTGCGCCTGTGGGACACGTCACTCCTCATCGTTTCCATCTCGCAAGAGAGCGCAATGTGTCCGTGGCGGAAGAATCCACACGCACACAACAATTATTGGGACCTTTGGTCTTTGAAGAAGAAAAACAAACACAACACATCAAGAAAACACAAAACACACGTCACAGGGGTAATCTTTAGGCTGTCATTTCAAAGAGTTTGAATGGGAAAATCTACAGACTAGCCCAGTCACAGTTTTGTGGACGTTGATACCACATTGCCAAAAGAAAATGTATGACTAGAGACTCTTGCTGGCGCGGCGACGTTCACTTTGGTGCGTCCAGTTTGACACATCCAAGCACAGTACAATGGCAGTGTGGTATTTTTCCCATCGCACTGCGGTGTTCCGTCCGAATCTTGCAACACATGTTTTTGAATGTTTATATATGGCAAACAAAAAGATTGTCAAACAAATCTAGCACGATCACTTTCCAGTCTCTGAGCGCCCTGGTCGTTGCCGGCCAAACAGAGGAGGCCTCGGTTGGGTTGAGCTCGGCAATTGCAGTGAGATATGTATGTATGTATGTATGTATGCTTTGTTGCTCTACATTTGTTCTACATGTAAAAACAGTATGTTTGTATGCGTGTCTTTCCCCAATATTGGATGTGTCCACAATAAGGGTTCTTTCGGATTCTCACGGTAGCTGTTACGGATGGGTGTCTGATCGGAGGTGCTCACGGCCGGGTACAGCTAATTCGCTGCTATATACGGTATATTCACTCACCTCGAGGTCTTCCAAGTGCATTTCGACAGGCTCGCAGAATCTGGCGGGGGCGAGCGGGCGCTCTTCGAGACTGCGCTCTCGTGGTGGTGCTGTGCACATGTTCGGGCTTGGTGATGACTTTTCGTGACAGCCGCAAGGGAAACCCCGTTGTTTGGTGGTCAAAAGTCGACTTTTCGTGGGCCTTTCTGCTCTGACTGGTGTTGCCAGAGGCAGAGGACCTATCCTTTAGTTTTTCTAGGTGTACACCTGGTTTCTTAACTTCCACAACAACACCACCATCACCGCCACCAACATCACCACCACCATCGCCACCACCATCACCACCACCCATCACCCATCACCACAATCATGACATCACCAACATCACAACCTCTATCACCACCATCACCGCCTTCATCACCACCATTGCCGTCACCACCTTCATCACCACCATCTCCATCTCCATCACCATCACCACCACCGCCTTCACCACCTCATCACCACCATCACCACCATCACCACGATCATCACATCCCTTCACCACTTGCACCACCACCACCATCACCACGATCACCACACTTCTCTCTGGAGCCCAACGCGTAGATCTCGAGACCTCCTGCTCCTACACCTCTAGACCTTAGACCTTTTGACACACTGTTTGGGGTTGCCGGGACAAATCTTTTGGGCTACGCCAAGGCAATGCTACGGGCCAAATCACTACTTGGCGAGCCTCTACGGTTTGGTGTTCTGGACTGCGGTTACGGTTTGGTGTTCTGGACTGCGGTTTGCAACCTGGACTTGGGATTGGCTTGCCAAAAGAAGGCCAGTTCTTGTCATTCTGTTGAACAGTTGAAGACGTATATACCCCCACTTGCTACCAACATATGTCCTTTGGAGTCAACCAACACACTGCGCCTAGACCAGAGCTAGGCCAACGAATCAAACCTGTCAGTGATAACCCACAGGCTAGCTTTCACGCGTAACCAAGAACGGTGGTAATAGCCCCATTGGCACATGGATTAGAGACGTCGCAGTGAAAGTGGTTGGTTATTCATCCCCAAACGGCTCACTTTGAACTGAAGGGTTCTTCATCCCTTTAAACCGCGTGGTGAATGTTTACATAATCACAATGTGTTGATCCAGACCGTTCTCTGCTCTTTCCAAAGTACTAAATTCGCTAAACACCCTCCCAAAAGCTGCAATCTGATGGCAACAAGAACAAGCCTGGACCACTTCGATACCTCACATCCTGACACGTAGCTTCTTTTGGCCGACGTTCAGAAAATTCAATATCTGCTGCCCGTGGCTAGATTTGACGCCAGGGAGCAAAATGCTATTGCAGCAAAATGTCCAAATTGATCAGATGATGGTTCAGTTTCCACTGTCAAAGTCGCAACACGCTGCTGCGTAGCGCGGGGAAGATCTATGTCCATCCGGCGCGAGCATCACTCCGAATGAATCTTCCAAGAATGTAAGAACCAAATCGATATCTGAGTGCCAAACTGTGTTCTGTCTCTAGAGGACCTTATAGGTTGTCATGTTGGAGTGAGACGGGAGGCTGTCAACATGGGGATGATGTCTTTCGGTTCCGACCATGTTCTCTAAAGGGTATACATCATTTCTATATTGTATATACCGTGAAAAGATGAATGATGCTCCGAGTTTCTTGCTCACAAGGTAAGAAAGAACCAAAAAATGCAAAAGAAAGAACACGAGAAGCAAAACCTGTTGCCAGTTCAAATGATGTCGCAAGGGTGCTGTATGGATGCGCGCCATTGCAGTGGTCCGTGGGCGGTTTAAAACCGCAGTGGCCGAGTTGGATAAAGAAAATATACTGTACGTTAAAAAAAAGGTATCTGGGGCGGCGTGTGCGTTTTTCGGGCCCCACTGTACAACGTAGAACAATAGACCAAACACGCGTGGCCGAGTTGGATAGAGAAAATAACTATACATAAAAAACGGTATAAGGGGCGGCATGTGCGTTTTCCGGGCCCCACTGCACAACGTAGAACAATAGACCAAACATTAACAGTTCAGAAGCCTGCAGGTGAAGAGTATTTCAACATAATTGTTAATGGAATTTTTATGTTTCGGATATGATCTGGGATTACGGTTCTTTTACACTTTTCTTATGAAACCGCAATTGGATTATGCGGTACTGTTGGGTGCTCACTGTGCCCTTCCTGTGACCATGCAGCCGCCCCTGGAAGATCTCAAGGATCCGGTTTTGGGGCTCCTGTTCAATATTCCTGGTTGGGTGTTTTACGTGGGTTTGGGGGTACTTGTGAGGAGGGCCCAGGGCCTAGGGCGGGGCGTGTGATGGCAGTCCCCTACAGGCCCGACACCAAACACACACTCTGACACTTGTATTCAGTGAACTCAGTTACCACGTTGGGAAGGATGGCGGTGGAACAGCATGGCGAAAAGTCCGAGAAAATTGTAGGTGTTTGAACAAAAGTTGTTTCCCTTGACTGCGGTGACGAAGCGGCTCAAGCTGCAGCGCTGCTGGGGAGGAAATGGTTTAGGGGGAGAAACATGAACGACCATGGCATCAAAACACAGCAAGGAAGAGTGGAGTGGTATCACGGCGCAGGTACGTTTTCCTGATCGTCCAGTGTGGAGCTTCGTTGGCAGAGGCCACGACTGGAGATCCCTCTGCCCCCTGCCGTAGTTGGTTGAGAACCCTTTGTCCAGGGGTGGACACACACACACACTTTTGCAAAGTGTATTTTCCCCATAAACAAAACCTGGAGCTCTGGAGCCACCGTATTTTTTCTGTAAAGAATCCATATTAAATCCATATTGTTGGAGAAGGGCGCAAATCACATATAAACAATAAAACACACTGTGCTTTATGGTTCTTATATGATTTTTACTTTTCTCCAACTTTTCAAGTCATAAAAACTACCAATCTGCCCAAGCCATGAAAAAAACACAACGGGACTTCCTCCAAAAGTGACGTGTCAAAGTCTCCAAAGCGAGCATTTCGTACGAGACTTCCTCCAAAAGTCAAGCGGTAAGCTCCATCGAAGCACACACATCAAGCAGCCCTGCCAAGCAGCTTCGCGATTACAGCCCCTCCAAGCTCACACGCCAATCCCAATGCCACAGCGACATTCACCTCCACCACACCTTGCTTCCCTGCGCCTGCCACGCAAATCGCACTTCCACACCTCAAAATCCGCACAAAGTACTGCAGGTGTCAATATCATATCATGTTAGCTTCAACAAAATTTGCACCACACCACACGTTTGAATGATGTCGACACGTTCTGAGCACGATTCCGACCCCC